GGCCAAGGGTTATAATTTGGTCAACAAGATGAACGAGTAGATGCTCTGACATATCAAAGTAAGTCGACGATAAATACATCTCAAGCCTAACGAGAGTTTTGGCTATGTCTCGCTGTAGCTGGTCCAGCGTGGACACATCAATGACCTTTTTTGAGATCGAGTTAAAGAACGAGCACAGCTTTATGATTGGGGCACCGACCTTTGCGGGAGGATACCACGCAGGGCAACAGGGAGCAGTTGAGTCATAATGACATGACAGTCATGGGCCTTCATACATCCATAGTTGAACTTGAGTTCTTTCATATTCACTAGCCTCTTCAGGTTCGTACAGTAGCCCGTCGGGACTTTGAGTTCATTGAAGAAAGAAATAAGCGCATGCTTTTCTTCCTTCTTCAAGGTCCATGACGCAACCGGAAGTTCGAACTGGCCATCCTCTAATGCAATGGGATGCAGTTTCTTTCTAATTCCCAAGTGTTGCATGTCTAGGCGTGTGGCTAGTGAATCCTTCGATGCCCTCCCCCCGGCGTCCATCAATGAGTTAAGCGTGTTACCGCACATGTTTCTAATAATGTGCATGGGATCAAGACAGTGGCGTACACTCAACACTGGTTAGTAAGGTAGTTTCTAGAAAATTGATTTTTTCTTCTAGACGCTCCCATCAGGCGCTGCTACTATATTGCCCCCTTTCTCAAGGATAACCTCTAGTTTGTTGACTTCTCGAAGTATCGTAGGCCCATCTCGATATTTTGGAGGTAAGCGTTTCTCAATAGTCCCATCAAAATCTTTTCTGTTCCTACGTGAAGGGTGATCCTTAGGTAGGAACCTATGGTGTCCCATATAAATTATCTTTGAGTTCTTTGGCACATGTACCGCATCGTTGTTGTCCAAGCACTCAACACATCCAATATAGCCTTTGCCTTCTCTCCACACAAGCAACCTCAATCTGGCAGGTCGGTGATTGTAGCAATAAGTACTGCCTTGATCATGACATGTTCCTTTTTGTACTCGTCCCAAACATCCTCGACACCCTTTTCAAACATCTCCACTAGTTCATCGATCACTGGTTCCAGAAACACATCGATGTCATTCCCAGGTTGTCTTGGCCCTTGGATCAGTAATGGTATCTGGATGTACGACCGCTTCATACAGAGCCAAGGTGGAAGGTTGTATATACAGAGCATCACTGGCTAGGTGTTATGATTGCTTCTAACCTGGTCAAAATGATTCATCCCATATGTGTTCAAACCAAACCAAAGGTGCCTTACATCTCCACCGATGTTCTTATAGAACATAGTATTGACTGTCCTCCAGTCCTTTCCATCGGTGGGGTGCCTCATCATTGTATCTTTCGTATGCTCTTCGCCATGCCAGTGCAACAGTTTGGCTGACTTTGCACATGCAAATAGCCTATGCATCCGAGGAGCTATAGGGAAATACTAAACGACCTTCACGGGACCTCCTCTGGTCTTGGTACCCTCAGCTAATGGCCCTTCCTTATACCATGGAGCTTCACACTTGGGGCACACATCCAAGTCTTTGTATTCGTCTCCACGGTACAATATGCAATCATTGGAACACGCGTGGATTTTTCAACCTCGAGGCCGATGAGACAGATCATTTGCTTGGTCAGGTATGTCTTTTCTAGCAACTCTTTTTTTCTAGGAGCATTTTCCTTATTATACCTAACAACTGATCAAAGTCTTTATCGCTCAATCCGTTTGTCGATTTGAACTCTAACAGCATGATGTCGGCTTCTAATTTTCTCATTGGACAATTCTTATACAATGGTGTTTTGCCATCTTGTCTTATTTTCTCTAGCTTTCTCAGCTGTCTTTCACTAAGACATCCGGTCTCTACATTACGTAGCAGCTGAGAAATGCCATCGTTATCCTCGATGTCATCAGCTAGCGTGTTCCTAAACACATCATTAACTGTGGACATAGGTTCCGTGTTGACACCGGGTTCCTCGTCAGCATCGTGGATGGATACGTTAGGCATGGCCACACCATCATCGTTTTCCTACGGAACATTCACACCAACCTCGCCATGCATAGTCCATATCATATAGTTTGGCATGAACCCCCTAGTCATCAAGTGCATTCGTACAGACTCAATTTGAGCCCATTTCCTTTGATTCATGCAATCCTTGCATGGGCAGAAGACAGGGTTCCTATTTCTAGCATGGGCTTTGGCATTGGTGATAAACTGGCTGACGCCATGCATGTACCGTTTGTCCGTTCGGGACAGATGCATCCACTCTCGATCCATCTCTGCACAAAAAAAAATTAAGACAGTAATTACAGAGAAATTAATAAGAAGTCGAGCTTTATGAACAACAATTGTAGCTCAAAAGTACCATTTATTCTACACTTAATTAATTTAGTCACCCTATTTTTTGAAAATATTATTGTACACTAATTATTGAAAAATTAAAATTGGTAGCCCCAGCCATATAAATTGAAAATCATAGCCTCATAAAAAACAATTATTGCACAATAATGAAGAACAATTATTCTACTCGATGCCACATAAAAATGGAGACACTAATTTTTTTTAAAAGACTAAAATTGGAGGCATGACCATGAACAACAATATAGCTCCAAACAATGTGTTGGTAGGTGACACATGGATTAATTTGCTCACCTAAATTGTAAAAGAATCTACTCTACTCTTATTAAGAACTAATTATAGCATCACATACTAACAATGATCTTGACCACCATGTAATTAGCTAGGATTTTAAATGTGTTCAAAGACACCAACCTGCTGGATGATGGATTCACCACAATTTGCTTCCAAGCCTTGCACAAAGTCCAATTGGAAAAGTGCTCTCTAGAATAAGAATCAAGCAATGTAGCCATCAAAACAGCGCTAAGTAAGCAACAAAATCAAAGGAGTGGATGCTTGTTACTAACCTTAAAGCAAAAAGATCAAACCATTCTTCCAAATCCAAGAGCTAACTTCATGGTGAAAAGCAACCGCAACAATGGAGGGAGCGGCCTAAACGCGCGCCTCTGTGCTCGGGATGAAAGATAGGAGGAAGGAGAGGACGGCGCTAGCTTTTTGTACCGCTATTTTATCACCGTCGGTTCTTGTCTCGAACCGACAATGATAGCACCAAATCACTGTCGGCTCTTGGTTAGAACCGACAGTGATAAGTGGCCGCCAACTCACTGCCGATGCAAGCCATAAACCGACAGTGATGTGGTCCTTCACTGCCACACTACGGGGAACGGGAGCTTTGCCGTCTGCCTAGGGCACACGACAAAGCCACTAAAACACTCGGCAAACCCTTTGCCGAGTGTAACACTCGGCAGAGGGCACACGACAAAAATTCTACCGGCAAACTAACTTTGCCGAGTGTCTTTTGTCGAGCACTCGGCAAAGACTTTGTCGAGTGCTCAAAAAACACTCGGCAAACAATTTTTCAGAAAAAAAAAACAAGCCATTGTCTTCTCCTCCCTCTCGCCGCGCCGCCACCACGCCGCGCCACCATGCCTAGGCCGCCGCAACAGCCACACCCGCCACCACCACCAGGCCCGTCTTCGCTGGATCTGGAGAGGGAGGGCCAAGAGGGGGGCGGCGCCGCTAGATCCGAGAGAGTGAGGGCCGGGAGGGGGTGTCACTGGATCCGGGAGAGGGAGGGGCCGGATCTAGTGAGCGGAGGGCGGGGCCGAACCGGAGAGGGAGGGGAGGGGGGCACGACGGAGAGGAAGAAGGAGGGGGGCGCGGCGGAGAGGGAGGCGCTGGAGAGGGATTGAGGGGAGGGGGGCGTCGAGAGGAGGGAGGAGGAGCCGCGAGGAGGAGGAGGAGGAGGGAGGGAGGAGGTGCACCGGAGGGAGGGAGGGGGAGGCGTCGGCGTGAAATGGGAGGAGGAGGGAGGAGGAGGCGGCCGGGAGAGAAGAAGAAGGGGGGGGGGGGCCGGCCGCCAAACGATCTTAAATAGGATTTTGTCCTTTGCCGAGTGTCCTAGATCTGGGCACTCGACAAAAGGTTTTTTTTCATTTTTTTTCTTCTCTTTCTTTCCTAGAAAAAAAGATTTTATTCCTTTGCCGAGTGTCCTAGATCTGGGCACTTGGCAAAGTTTTTTTATTTTTTTTCTTCTCCTTCTTTCCCAGAAAAAAAGATTTTATTTCTTTGCCGAGTGCAAAAAAGAAAACACTCGGCAAACCTCATCTTTGTCGAGTGTTTTTTTTACACTCGGCAAACCTCCTCTTTACCGAGTGTTTTTTTTGCCAAGTGTTTTTAGCGCAGCACTCGGCAAAGAACTTGTTCGCCGAGTGCCCGAGGGAATACACTTGCCAAACATAAAAACACTCAGCAAATTTGACGTTTGTGGTAGTGCCAGTTTTAGCCTAGCCCTAATCTTTTTCTTATTTTCAAGCTCAAAATCGACAGTGAAGGTACGTCACCGCCGGTTCTCACAAATCTGACAGTGATGTCCAAATCTGTAGTAGTGTGGGGTCTCTGCCCAGTTCATTCAGTGATCTTCAGGTGTTTTGGGATCAGGATACCGTCTGTAGTGGCTTCAAAATTTGAGTTGGCCCGTGGTGGCCTTAACTCGTCGGTTCCTTTTGAGATTGTTGCTCCGGTCTCATCGATTCTCCATGGCTTTGGCACCGAGAAGATGAGCAGGGAGACCATGTCCAGGACTTGTGTGCGTTTTGTTGTAATTTCATACTTCATCAGGGTCCTGTTTGTAACTTGGGTGCGCTGTGTTAGACGTAATGCAACCCACCCTTTTCTAAAAAAAAAAAAAGCTTCCACTCGACAGGTCGACCCAGAATGACAACACAGCACAAAAAGAAAACAGCGAATAATAAGCAACTAAAAAAACAACCAGAAACTAAACCAACACTAGTAATCCGGAACATCCGTTCTCAAGGACAGCTTGATGATATAAAGGAGAAGAGTACAGGACCTCCAACGTAACACCACATCAAGCAAGTACATGGAGTCATGGACATGTCACCAAACTGTCCACTGCACTCTAGCTGTGATCACCAGACGCCGGATCCAACCACCGCAACAACAACGGCGACGACGCACGCACTGACCCACCCTGCTCCAACCCACTTGGCGGCGGCGCCCGAGGAGGCACCAGTGGTGCTGCCGCCGCCGCCGTCGATGGCGCCGGTGGTGCCGCTACCCGTGGCTGTCGCCGTCTTCACGTGCACGTCGAGCTCGATGGTGGCGTCGGGCCCGCTCATGCTGGACGTCTTCCACAGCACGTACCCGGTGGCCATCCGGAAGTTGCCCGTGCCGCCGACGACGGCGAGCTCCCGCACGTCCGCGGCCACGTCGTCCCGGCCCACCACCGCGAGCGTGCTGCCGTTGTGGTCCCCCCGAGGTGAGCAGCAGGTTCGCGCACACCATCAGCACGAGGCCCGACTGCGACGACACCATGTAGAAGCCCTGCGCGCGGCCCACGGCGGCGGACGTGGGCGACGACGTCTCCGTCAGCGCGTCGTCGATCACCAAGGTGTCGCCGAACGCCAGCCCCGGGACGATCGACCCCGCAGCGGCGGGGCCCTTCACCACCTGCACCGCCGTCGGGTTGCTCCCGGACGCGATGTCGTGCATGAAGAAGTGCAGGTGCGTGGTGCCGTCGTCGTCCGCCGCCAGGACGACCGACGGCGGCGATGACAGCGCCGCGAGGAGGAGGACCAAGAGGAGGGAGAATGCCATCGCTGCTGCTGCTGCCATGTTGGACGATCGATCGATGGAGCTCGAGGTGGGTAGAAATGGAAAACTTATAAGCACCGTGAGTGTGTGTGTGATGCATGTTTGGTCGAATAGCCAATGTATGACGGCAGTTGTGGTTGTAGGTTTCTTCGGGGTTGTTTGGTTCCTTAGACCAGATTTTAGTCCCTGTCCTATCGAATGTTTGGACATATGCACGGAGTATTAAATATAGACTAAAAAAATAACTAATTACACATATTGCGACTAATTTGCGAGACGAATTTTTTAAGTCTAATTAGTCTATGATTTGATAATGTGGTGCTACAATAAATATGCGCTAATGATGGATTAATTAGGCTTAATAGATTCATCTCGTAAATTAGTCTACTCCTGTGTAATTAGTTTTTTAATTAGCTCATATTTAGTTCTCCTAGTTAGCATCCGAACATCCGATGTGACACGGACTAAACTTTAGTCCCTGGATTCAAACACCCCCAGGTGTGATATGATGTCCCAACCCACAAACAGCACCATTAGGTGAGATGGGACCTAGGCTAACAACATGGTACTGTCTATAGTAAATTAAGTACCCTTTCTGAAGTATAATTTATTTTCGTTTTTTTTCATTAAAAAAATTCATTACCATGTATCTAGATGTAGCATATATCTAATTATGTATCTAGAAAAATCAAAACGCTGTATATATTGCCATTTGGAACCTAGGGAGTGGTAAAACCTAGAGCTCAAATTATATTCTACGATGGAGGAGTAAACATTTTGGCTAGATTGGTGTATGCTAGCTATTTCTGGTCTGCAAATGACATGGATGAGTTGCGTAATAAGAAGCCCACCAAGATCATATTGTTCGAGGCATCTGGATCAACAGCTCATCAAGCATTCTCGATATTTGTAGCAAAACTGGGGTGAGCATAATTAACCGAAACAAAAAAAAACAAGCCGAAAGAATCGGAACCAAAAAAACCGGTTCCTTATTCGATTCTAGATAGGAAGAATTGAAATAACCAAAGAAATTTCAGTTCCTACTCTCAGATAATTGAATTAACCAAAATACAGGAATTTTAGTTCACTTCCTGGCATTTTATAAGACTATGTTTGGTTTATGTGTGATGTCTCATATTGAATTGCTATGTATTTGTGTTACTATATTGTTATTGTTTATTTATCAATTATTATTATTATTATCTAACCTAGAGGTAGTTTGCCTAATTTTGATTTAGAACCTGAATCTTTTTTGTCTTAAGCTCTGCTAAAAAAATCTAATTAGTTCGGTCAGGACAAAAACCAAACCAAAAACCAAAATGCCCAGTTATTTTTTTTTTAACCGACCGATTCCCATTTTCTAGAACCGAATGTTTTCAATAACCGAAGAACCAATCCGAAACCAAACAAAAAACCAAATGCCCACCCTACCGAACACTGCGACATCGGCGATGAAGTAGTCGGACTCCATGGTCAAGGTGTTGCTGCAGTCCGTGCTAAGGGGCTTGCCATCCTTGCCCGGGCTTGGGCAGCGGGGCGTCAAGGACGGAAAGCCCCTCAGCGCAGACGGAAGTAGCACCGTGACCGTGGAGTCCGGACGACAAGAGTATGCAGTAACTCCTTCTGTTGTCTACTCATCACCAGCATGGTCGGCATCCACTCGATCGATCAACATATCGCTATTTAGTTTAATTTACTACTTCTTCATTTCATTCCTCGATCAGCTGCCTCCTCTTATATAGACTGAGATCCAGTGACGAGCAATGCAACTCAAGCAAGCAGTGTTTTTTTTTTTTTTGTGACTAAGCAAGCAGTGGTGTTCCGCCACTTTTGTTGCAAGCATCCATTGCCAACAGGAACGGAAGGTACCCTTATTAAATTAGCGGCTATCCTTTTTTTAGGAAAATTAGCGGTGATCGATATAATAATAACCTAGCTAATTTTAGATCGATCCTAGGCTTCCTGCTGGCCAGTCCGCATCCATGGTGCTGGTGCTGCATGATCTCTTGACGTGCCACCTACTAACTGAAAATTTCCCTTTCAATAAAAAAATAAAAAACAATAATGGGCCAAGGGACGGTATCTATCGACTTATATTTTTTTAGGCCAGAAACTCTCGGCACCTGACAAGGTTGTTGGGCCGCCTGCATTTTGTTCAAGTTGGGCCGAACCAGAACATGCCCAAAATATAGGAAAAAGTCCACATTTCCTCATCAGCTTTCGAGAAAGTCCACTTTTCCTCCCTAAACTTCAAAATTGGGCAAAACACCTCCCTCGACTTTTAAAACCGTTCATCCTACCTCCCTGGACCTGTTATAAGTGGTTTTGTCTTTTTATTTATTTATTTTGGTTGAATCTTTAAAAAATCATAGTCAATCACAAAAAAATCATAAAATGAAAAATCTAATTTTATTGGACTCCACATGAGTAAATCTACACAATGAATATATAATATGGTATGCTTTAGTACAAAGTTTTTGCTGTGGCTTTAGATCTATGCTTCTATGTAATTAATTGAAATAATTCATAGCTACAGTTTTTATGGTCCAATTATGATAAAAAAATTATGGTGTCCTAATTATTGTATGATTGAATTGTAGTAAAATTTCATACTCATTCGATCATGTATAGCTTAGCTATAGATTTATTTATATTTAACAAGCATAAACCTAAATAAAATCTATAACTAAGTTATATATGATTTAATGAGTATAAAATTTTTACTACAGTTTAAGCATACAATAATTAGCCCACCATAAAAATTTCACCATAATTGGACCATAGAAACTACAGCTATGAATTATTCCATTTAATTACGAAAAAGCATAGATCTAAAGCCACATCAAAAACATTGTACTAAAGCATACCATATTATATATTCACTGTGTAGATATATACTCATGTGCAGTTCAATAAAATTAGATTTTCTATTTTATGATTTTTTTCTATGACTTACTATGATTTTTCAAAGATTCAGCCAAAATAAATAAAAAAGAAAAAGACAAAACCGTATTTAAAACCGCTTATAATAGGGCCAGGGAGGTAAGATGAACAGTTTTAAAAATTGAGGGATGTGTTTTGCCCGATTTTGGATTTTGAGAGAAAAAGGGAACTTTCGTAAAAGTTGAGGAAGCTAATATGGATTTTTTTTTTCCCAAAATGTATGTGTCGTCGTTAATGAACAAGATAATGGGCCAACATGGCGTCGAGTAGTGACCATGAACAAAAACAGCTCTTCCTGCTTTTCTACCTGTTGTCAAAAGGGCACGAAGCCAGGCATTAAAATCACCGTGGCCAGCTCTATCATACAAAATGTACTACCAAACAATGAATCTATATATGGGATCTGCCAAAAATTATAGGGATCAGCTTACCCGGTAAGCACACGTAGCTTCGCCCATGCACCGCACCACACCAAACTCACGGAGGGTGAGACACAAGAGGTCGATCTAACATGCGGGTTTAGTCTTCCATGTTTATCCACATCAATGTAAAGTTTGTCACGTTAGACTTGCCTTTCTTTCTTGGCCTTAAAATAATTTTTCTTACCTATTTGGCCTCACTTGAAGTTTTGTTTTCTAATCTGGCCTTACCATGAGATCTGTCCAACTTTACTGTCTCTGGCTTGTCAGTTTATATTGAACAGACAAAAATATCCCTAGGCTAACTACAGGACCTAATGCGTGCCCCTAAGCTGAATCCTCTCGTAGTTAAAAAAAAAAGTTGAATCCTCTCTTCTCCTCGGTCTCGTCTCCCTCCCACTGGGTGCGCGCGGTGGCCTAGGCATGTGGCGGCCTCGGCTCCCTTGGTGACGTCCTAGGCGCTGGGCGTCCGCCGTCTCCCTATGCGCCAGTGGCCTGAGCGACTGCTTAGGGCACCAGCACGTGATGAAGAATGCCCTGTTACCTTCACTTTTATAGGCAAAAAAAGACTCAAATCAACCTAACCATCTACAAATCACAAAAAGTGTGCACTCCTATCAAAGAGTGCTTAAAAGTATGTTGTTATAAAAATTGGATTCAAAGAGTGCTCAAAATTATGTTGGTATGATGTCTCGGTGCCCTTTGATTTCTCATAATGTCTCAAGGATAATAAATTGGTCATTTCATGTAGCACTTAACGCCATTAGGGGCAGTAGATGATGGTAAGGTCATATTGGGAAACAAAACTTGAAGTGAGGCCAAATAGGTAAGAAAATTTGTTTTAGGGCCAAGGAAGAAAAGCAATTTTCAATCATGACCAAATAAGAAATTTTCTCTTTCTGAAAAGACGGTCCTATTGTGAGGATTGTTTGATTCTTGTGAGATCCAAAGAGTTGGGTTGAGAGATCCAGTGAGCAGGAGCAAGAGCAAGAGCAAGGAGAGAGCAAACTCTACCCTTCAGCAATTGTGATTCTTATCAAAGCATTCAGTGTAGCATTTGTTACTCATGGAGGTGAAGCCTCCTAGACAGCAAGGAGTTGCCCGGTGAGCTCCCGTGCATGTGGTGAGCCACGGGAAGTTTGTGAAGGCCACAATTTCTCCTTTGCAAGGGAAGAGATCAAGATAGTGAAGCGAGGAAAGTGGATGAAAGAGACCGGCTCCCTTAGGAGCACCTCAACAGAAACGTAGCATTCACGGAGGTGAATCCGAACTTCAATAAATAAATTGGGCGTATCCTCTGCTTGTTCTCTTGTGTTCTTGTTGTTCATGTTTACTTTTGGTCGATTCGCCCTGATCTACTTGTTCTTGTGTTTTTTTATTGTAGGTTTGCAAGGAATCAACTCACTACATGCCTGTCAACTTTTGGTAACAAGTAGGATTGATTCTATAGGCGTAATCTTCATCCATTTGAAATTTGACGTTACCTTGTCGGATGTTCCGGGCCCTAACATGAATTTTCGGTCTTGATATCTGCTGCAAGTTTTATTCTAGAACGGCTATTCAACCCCCCTCTAGGTGACATCTCGATCCTATCAGTTACACTCTAGCATTCCACTATGTAGAAAAGATCTATAGTCTTTTTAATTTAGTTATAGTGACTATGAGCATGCTCCAACAATTTATGATTCTAGTGTGTTATTAAGGACAAATGAAGAATGATACTCCTAGATCATTGGCCCACATATATACTTATCTAGTGCAACAATGCCTAACATCTTGTTTACTGGTTTGTTTCTAATCCAGTATATGCTCATTGCCGTGTTGTTGAAAGAGTAATTGATGCACTATCTAAAGGGCATCGTGAGTTATGGTATTCAATCTACTGGGTACCCAACCAAGGGTACCAGAGTGTTATAGTGATTCAAATTGGATATATGACGTTCATGAGATAAATGCTATAAGTGGATATGTGTTTCATAGGAGTCTTGCAACCAGACCAATGTAACGAGGTCAACAATGAAAGTAGAACTTGTAGCATTAGCTACTTCATGCCACTGTTGAGGCCAAGTGACTTGTGAAATCCTTATGGATTTGTCAGTGGTTGAAAAAATATATAGCAAACGACAACACAGTTCGAGAAACGATGCGAGAAGAGAGGAGCAAAACTTTTTTTTATTGTTTCTAGGCCCTAGAAATCGATGCACACACTATATGGCTTGCCTAAGTCTCCTCCCATTTGGTTCCATAGATACAATAGATTGAAAACACACTATGGATGCCCTTAGGCCTTGTTCGGTTATTCCCCATTCCATATGGGGGATGGAGGGGATTAGAAGGGATTAGGGGGAATTTTGACTTGCTAGGGATTTAAAGCCCTTCAATCCCCTCCACCCCCCTTGAATTGATTTGCAACCTAACAAGGCTTAGAGGGAAGGGCACGGCCTCTGGCGAATTGCAAATGAGCAAGTTAAGGTAGCAGTAACACTGTCATGGTAAGAGTTAAAGCAAAGAAAGATGCTCGAGCAAGTAGTGATAAGGCATCAAATTGAGAGAGGTTAGGATGATTGCGTTGAGCTCCTATGGTGGGGCTCAAAGTTGTCCTAGCGAAGTATTTCGGATGGAATGAGGTGTCACAAAGAATGAGCTAGCTTACAGAAGAAAATACCATGAGGAATGTTGCAATCCTCTATATCTAATTAAATTTTTGCATTGTTCAATTTGCGCATGTGCATCATTTAAGCCAAATAAGTACCACTCCCTCCGTCCTAGAATATATAGCATCAAGCATTTAAAATTTATTCGAAGTTATATGGAATTCTAGGTAAACTAACCTCCCAAGTTTAAAAATGATGCATTAATTCATTCACATGCATACTACCATTGATGCCCATCACCCAACCCAAATATGGTAATTACAAAAAAAAACCCATTAAGTGAATGTTACATGTGTCATTTGCTCTGCTCCATAACTTGTCATAAAATTTCTAGTGTACCTCATGTTTGAGAACGGATGGACCATGGTGGTGTCAGATCCTAATGTCACGCTCGATCTCTTTTCAGAATGAAAGCTTAGTTGTGCTTGATACGATGCTTGGTGGTGCCTTTGCGCTCATGAATCTTGTATGTAGGTCTTGTTTTTCTTTTAACCTAGCTTGATGCAAAAACAGAACCAGACACGATGTCAAACAATGCTGCAGTCCAGATGATTGACGGTGGGCCTGGTTTATACTCCCTTTACCTCATAAAGAATACATTTCTAAAATAGTGTCACGTGAAACCATGTTAAGTTTTAATCAAACTTATATGAATTGTAATATTTATAACTACAAATTTATAGTTGTAGTTATAGACGTTGATATTATCTTTTATAAACTTAGTTAAATTTGAAATACTCCCACCGTCCGCAAAAGAATGCAACTCTAACATAGTACCAATAAGTTAAAATATCTTGAGTTTGTCTAACTATACATAAAAAAGATCAATATTTAAAATACCAAATAAGTATTATTAGATTTGTCATGAGATATATTTTTCATACTATACTTATTTGATATTATGAACATTAGTTTGTTTTACCTATATATTTAGTCAAACTTTAAAAATGCTAACCAATAGTGCACGTAGAATTGTATTCTTTCATGGACAGAGATAGTAACTTGATATCGAATCAGATCAAACATAGAATTATATCCTTTCTGGATGGACATAGTATACAATATCGTATTATAAAATCCATTATCTTTTGAATAAAGTTGGGTGTGAGAAATCAAATCGCACTATGAAAACACATGTGGCGAGTTGCCTTTTATGTCGAGGGTTCAGGGATCGCACAAGTCGCAAAGGAGAGCAGATGAGCCGTCCTGCATGTCCAGTTTTCCTATTATGGCAAAAGCAAAAGGTAAGTTTCAGTGAACTTGCGCAAGCAATGGACATCAAGCAATAATGGAAAGTGACGGCCGATACTCATGCGTGTGCATGTTGATCACTGCATGCTTTCACCAAAACTAAATAAAGGAGAGAGATAGGGTTGATCCCATGCATTCTTGTCTGCAATGGATTGGAATATATACACACACACACAACACAACACACACACACACACACACACACACACATCTCATCGATCAAGAAGACACGATGATGTATCCTCGCTTCACACGCGCAGCAGCCCTGCTGGCGGCCATTGTTGTTGTGCTCCAGCTGCTGCAGCTGGCCGCGGCCGTCCGCCCCGCTCCCGCCGTCGCCGGCGCCAGCGACATGCAGCACCTGCACTTCTTCATGCACGACGGGTACCCCACCGCCGTGCTGATCGTGAACGGCAGCACGGCGGCTCCGGTGCTCCCCGGCAACCGTCGGTTCGGCGACACGATGGTGATGGACGACGTGCTGACTGAGGGGCCGAGCCGGGCGTCCAGGCCCGTGGGCCGCGCGCAGGGGACCTACGTGCTGGCGTCCCTGGAGGAGGCCCGCCCCGCGTTGCTGCTGTCCATGAACCTCGTGCTCGCCGACGGCAGCACGGTGGCGGTGATGGGCCGGAACGACGTCATGGCGCCCGTGCGCGAGCTCTCCGTCGTTGGCGGCACCGGCCGGTTCCGCATGGCCACGGGGTACGTGCTCTGGAAGACGGCCAGCTGGCGCGCCGACAACGCCGCCGTGCTCGAGCTCGATGTCTTCCTGCGTGCCTCATGAGTGACGGTGACTATGCAAGGATCGTGCATGCATTCGTCTGTGTGTACGTGGTGTTATTGGTTTTTCTTGCATATATGGCACTATGTTATGTATCCACCCACCTGCACCTGCTGAATAAATAAAACTCGGCCTGTCAGCGTTTCATGGTTTTCTTAAGCAATTGCTCGATCTTTTTAGTGTAAGTGTGAATGAAGGAGCATGCTTATTTGAACTGTGAGTTTGCTCAATTATATTCTTAAGTTGGTCTAATAAAAAAAAAGTACTCCCCATGCCAAAAAAAAACTTTATAAATCATTTTGGCTTTTTTTAGGTATATATAGTTTTGACTTTTTCAAACTATAAGACGTTTTAATTTTTCTAAATACATAGTTTTTGCCATGCGGTTAAATATATATTATATCGAGATACATAACAAAACTATGTATATATCTAAGTCAAAACATTCTTATAATTTGAAGAGGAAGTATTTTAAACACTACTGGAAAAACGTCTTTTGCCGAGATCCTATATTTTTGCCGAGATCAAAAACGCGAGCTCTCGGCAAAGAAAACGTTTGCCGAGAGCAGCTCTCGGCAAACATCGGCCGTCGGCAAGTGACAGGATCGCCGTGGGCCTGCATCTCGGCAAGCAACAGCTCTCGGCGAAGTGGGCCGTTTTGCCGAGAGCTGCGCTCGGCAAAAAATGCCCGTCGGCAAAACGGTCCTTTGCCGTAGGCCGCGCTCTCGACAAAATCAGGCTCTCGGCAAAACATTGCCGCGGGCCCATAGCCGTGACCTGCCCTGACGGCATCACCGCTTTGCCGAGAGCCCCTCCGTCACTGCTCTCGGCAAAACTCTTTGCCGAGAGCCGCTCTTGGCAAATATTTGCCGAGAGCCCCTCCTAGGTTCTCGGCAAATGTGGTTTCTATATTTCATGTGTATGTGTTTCTCTTCTCCTAACTCTCTCCAATTAAATTATTTTTTCTTTCATATGCTCCAAACTTTTTTCTCTATAGACATAGTATAGGTTGTACTCAATATTAAAATTTTGTGTATTTTTGTAATTATTTGCTATATATAATTAATTAATTGCATTTCAAGGAGTTTTTTTAATCGATTAAAATTTGAACAGCGATTGATTTAAACACGGGAAAAAATTAAGTAGAAAATGATATTCATGCTATTTATGCATTATTGAGGGCAAATAACAACTTGTTGACGTTTTTTTCACCTTTTATTTTACGAATCGAAGACCACGAACATATGTCGCCCAACGATTTAAAAATTCTTAAAAAAGGAAACGAAGTCGGAAAATTGTGATATTTGCAATGAAGTCATGGTATCACACTTGGAGGCTGTGGTAAAAAATTGAAAATGTTTCGCACAAGTGGTTGCGTATGATTCTTACAATCTGAGACATCTCCAAATAAGTTTCATAAAGTTGAGAAGGAGTCATTAGGATTTTCAAACAATGTCACGGTCAAATTAGTTTTGGAGTTCCAAACTTTTTGTATAGCCATTAGAGAGCATAAGTTGTAACACGGCAAAAATTCGTATTTTTCCGGAGCCGTTTGCTGTTTATTAATTTTTTTTGGATATTATTTGCCGAGAGCTTCAGGGGATTGCTCTCGGCAAAGGCTCTTTGCCGAGAGCAACTAGGCCCGCTCTCGGCGCAGATTTTTTTTTTACCTGGCCTGGATCAATTGTTTGCCGAGAGCTACTCTCGGCAAATAATAATTTTTATTTTTTTTATATTTTTTTGTGCAGTTAGCTAGTTAAAAAATTCGAACAAAATTTGAAAAAAAATAACTTTACCGAGAGTCGAATCTGGGGGCTCTCGGCAAAGGAAGGTTTGCTTGAGAGCCTCCGGATCGGCTCTCGGCAAAGTGGCTTCACCCACTTAAGCGTTTGACTTGAGCCCCACAAGCAGCGCAAGGTAAACCGTTTTCCGTAGCCCGCCCGCGCCCATGACCCGCCACGCCCGGCACATGTGCTGCCGCCGCCGCCGCTCCGCTCGAGCCTACGCCGCCGCCCGCCGCCGCCGCAGCCGCCCCATATCCCGCCCCATCCGCCACATCCGCCCCCATGGGCGGTGGCCGCTGCCTCCCTTGCCCCGCCCCGCCGCCATACGCCACGCCGCGTCTCGCCCCTGCGCTAACGAGCGCAATCATTTGTCCCGCCCCATAAGCGGAGGAGGCGAGGAGGAGGGCGCCGCCCTCTCCCCAAGCAGAGGAGGCGAGGAGGAGAGGCACCAACATCTTCAAGCGTGGCTACTGGAGGATATAGGTCGATCCACAAGATACTCTCTCGGTGAATGCTAGCCCGTTAAAATTTCTTTGAAATTCCTGTCAAAATTCAAGTCCCACACCAAGTTCCTCGTCTCACAGGTGAGATGTATGTCCAAAATTCCATTTGCTTCCTTTTGAAGTGTGAAAGCGGCAGTTCTAGAAATCATGTTGTGATAACCTTAACTTTAGGTCCACTACGCCTTTTGATGCGGATCTCGTGTATCACGGCTATCCTCTTGTACTACAGAGTCTAGAAATCATGTTGCGCTTTCATTCTTGAATTAGCTCTCGATATGTCAATTCTTATCCTTTACGAAAATACAGGTAGTAGGGCGATGAGACAGAATATATGTTTGATAGTGCCAATGACTTCTTTGTATTGCCTACCCCAACCCCGAGAGTAGTTCCTTGTAATTTTTGTGTTATTTATTTCCAGGACCAAAATAGTATAGCTGAAAACCATACTAATTCACTTACATACCCCACTCAACTGTGTGTATTCGTCATAGCTAGGTAGGAGTACATTGTTTACATTCTGGCGTCCTATCATTTTCGTTTAGTTTACTTTTTTTTCTTTTACCGATGTGAATCGAATGAATATGTTATATGAAGTGCAAAGGTACGCATAGGGATCAACCCATGTAAATATTACATTACAAAATTTTCAAATGGTTCTTTATCCATGTAAATGGACAATAGTACCTTGCTATTTTGACCAATGGTTTGCAAAGCTGACATTAAGTAATTTGCAAGAGAAGTGATGTTCCACACTCTGGGCTGATGAGGAAAATTTTGATAAAAACAACCTCATAATTAATACGAGGAATAAATAAAAATCAAAAGAGCAATAAGAATAGCATGACACAATAAACTAGGTCCCAGAATCTAAATATCTAATAAATAAATAAATAAAAGCTTGAGGGAATGCCAATTATACATTGTTCCTGTGATTAGAACCCACATAAGAACTCTTTGTAGACAAAAGATTGCAGCCTTGTTACAACATCTTTCGTGCTCAAGATTTACATTTCTGAAATTCAGGAGCCATCTGAATAGTCAGCCTTGTCACAACATTCACTCTTAAATCTTAATCCATATTTGCTGACCCCTACTCAAACACAGAAATCTGCACAAGGCATAATAATTTATGATTTTAGTTCCAGGAGCCATCAGGAGAATAAAAATGTTCAGTTGATAGTGCAAATGAAATACTAGGATGGATTTCAGTGCACGGAAAGGTTTATGGTGCATGCAGCTTAATCTGCTTGTTTCGAGTCTAACTGATTCTAGTAACATGAAACTTAGCCAGAAGCCCAGAAGATTGATTATATTTGATAATAACCATTTCTTAGACTTATTTTCTGACCTTTTCTAGCTTAATCCAACAACAATACCAAGAATGCATCTTGCTAGTAAACTGCTCCCTGAAAAAGCTGTAGAGAATGCTTTTTCCCCCTTACCACACCAGAGTTTAATGTTTCAAAGTTCATAACAAAAAAAAAATGAAACAACGGGAGGTCAAGTAAAGAGATATTACTACCGGATGCTGATAGACAATTACATAGAGTCATACAAACTCGGGATGAACAAAGAGATGAATCACAAATAAAGCTATAGTGCATGGAACTAAAAAAAGGTCATGTTTGTGTTATTCTACTAAACTAAGCAGCACGCTCGCATAATCTATTTCTTCTCAGAACTAATCATTTCAGATTTTTTTGTGTCAACATAATCAGCAGTTTTAAGCTTTATGCTATGTATATAAAATGCAATTAAATTTAAATAACTATCATTATTATTAGAGGTAACTGTGAGGGTAAGATCTTTTGCTGCATGTCGTTTGCTTGACAGTAATGTAGTGTGGTTTTAAGCTCAGACATTTTGTTTATCTCAGATGTTTAAACTCAGATGACAGTTTCTCATATGTTTAAGCTCAGGCGAGAGTTACTAGTAGTTTCTTTTTCTTCCGTACTGATGATTCTTGGCTGCTATGGGCTGGTGATTGATATGGAATGATGAAATAGCTACTGAGCTGGCACCTGTGATGAAAGATCTAAAGAATTTAATTAAAACTTCTTCCTCGTGCACAGTTGCAATGTATCATGTAGTAGTACTTTGTTTTCTTGTCAAATAAACTAAGTTATCTCCGTGAGCAAAAAGAGGCTAACTGGATTATAATGTTAAAAATAGAAATATCCGAATTTGTATTTCTTAAAAGGAGAATTCTGCATTTACTAAATTATTGTGCATCCTAAATCCATTTGTCACATTGTTTGCTATAGAAGGGCAAAGTGTCTGAAAATTATTTGCTGGTTGAAATGATGAGAAGGCAAAATAGGATTAACGGGGAATGTATTGCTTGTGAATTCAAACATGTACTTGTTCCACGAGAAGCGAACTTGATTGAAATGATGCACAAACATATTTGCCAATTCCCTTTGTGCCACCAGATATGGCAGTGGAAATTGTGTAAGCTTTCTAAGTCGAAGTCATACAATTTTCTAAGCTTGATAGTGTTTTCGAATCTTTGAGAACGAAAAAATGATGGAACTGAATGAGATGGGAAAGATAAGTTTCTTATCGGTAGTAGTTGTAGTAGTTAGAGTAGTAGTAGTTGATAATTAAGTCGCATGTGGTTCCTTGATATATATGTGGTTGTCGGCCATCGTGCCGTGGTTTTCTTTCAGGTTTGGAAACCTCACCGTTCAGGAGATCTTTGCCGAATTTTTGAGTT